TTGCTCCAGGAAAGCCAGCAATTGGCCAGTAAGTCCAGGCAAAGATGTGCAACCTGATTAATCATTAGAGCGGTGAAAATCAAAACCACAAGGAGCTACCACTTCACACTTATGCAAAGCAACTACAGAATAGAAAAGAGCTGTGTTACAGGGCTTCCCAGACTTTATGGGAGCACACAGCCTCATCTTGGTCCCAAGGAGCAGTTAGTGGGTTTGAACTGCCAGTACTGCTTAGCCTGCTGTGCCACCAGGATACCTACGAGGATGACCAAAAAAAATTTTTTTGAAGGAAAATAGACATTGGGCAAAATGTGGAAAAATTAGCTCATACATCACTGATGGGTATCTAAAATGATAGTTACTTTTCAAAAGGTTAGCAGTTCCTTAAACAGCCAAGCATAGAGTTACCGTATGACCCAGCTGTACTCCAAATAAATTAGAGACTCAAACAGATACTTATGTGAAAAGTGAAAGAAACCCAAAGCCATCGAGATGAATGGATAAGCAAAATGAACATGCATGCAGCAGCCATGATGAAAGATGAATTCCTGACCCATGTTGCACTGTGGGTGAGTCTGAAGGACGAGCAGCCAATGTCCTCCTCGGGAAAAGAGACAAGAATCGCTGTCCAGAGGGAACAACATTCGTCAGTGGTCACCAGGAACAAGGGTGGTCATAGATGCCTCTCCAGATTGTGATCTTGCGCAAAAAGTGCTTGAATTTTCAGAATGCCAATTTTCCCTTCTGTCAAAGTGAAGATGAAGATACATCTTCTTAATCACGTCAGAAAAGGAGATATCCTGGCATGTAACGTTTCCTCCCCAGAGGGAACGCGGTGGATGTGAGTGATCAATGTTTAGAAGTTCTGCTTCTCCCTCCACAAGACTCTCTCCGGGTGTTGTACTCGGCAGACTGGCTCTAACCTTGTCTTCTTTCCTCCTCAGGGCTCGGAATGGAATGCCTCCAACTTAGAGGACCTGCAGAACCGAGGGTAAGTACCTGAGCAATGACCAAGCGGTACCACCATTGTCTTGTCTTGGCATTTTCCAATCAAGGAGCCATTGATGGAGAACTTTAATCCTGAGTCGCTTCCAGCTAATTCTAATCAGGTGACCGCTAATAAAAAGTAAAATGGCTCTTCTCCTGATTTAATCTCCCTACCCCAAGAAAGAGCAACAGGTTTTTGTTTTGTTTTGTTCTTTTTGTTTGTTTGTTTTTTAAGATAATTTTATTGGGGGCTCTTTACAGCTCTTATAACAATTCATACATCAATTGTGTCAAGTTTATTTGTGCATAGTTTGCCATCATTATTTTCTAAACATTTACTTTCTATTTGAGCCCTTGGTATCAGGTTCTCTTTTTCCCTCCCTCCTTCCCTCCCACCCGCGTGACCCCTTGATAAATTATAAATTATTCTTATTTTCATGTCTTACACCGACCGTTGTCTCCCTTCTCCCACGGTTCCTGTTGTTCGTCTCCTGGAGGCGGTTGGGGGGTGAAGTTATGTGTCGATCATTGGGGTCGGTACCCTTTCATCCTCTCCTCTCCCCAACTTAAAGAGCAAAGTTTTTACTGAAAAGATTTTTAAAATCAACAAATTGGCAAGCCTTTGGTGCCACTTAAAATCAAGTATTTAGTTACTGGTCCTGATTTTTATGTTTAGGATAGACTAAACAAAATGTAGTGCACTCATAGAACAGAACACTACTGAGCCAATAAGGGTAAGGAAAGCCTGATATGTGCTCCAATATGGAGGGATCTGGAAAACATCATGCCAAGGGAAATCAGGCAATCACACAAGGGCAAATACTGCGTGATCTCACTCACATGAAAAGGCAAATCTATAGAGACCTAACTTTAGTAGTGCCTACCAGGAGCTAGAGCAGTGGTTCCCAACCTTCAGAATGCCACAGCCCTTAGTAGGGTTCCTCATGTGGTGGTGACCCCAACCATAAAATTATTTTTGTTATTACTTCATCACTGTCATTTTGTTACTGTTATGAATCGCGTGACCCCTGTGAAAGGGTCATTCGACACACACCCCCCAAAGGGGTCGTGACCCACAGGTTGAGAACCTTTGAGCTAGAGGGAGGAAGTTTATGGTGATGGAAATAATACCACATTGATTAATGCAAGCTTACACAGCTGATTATTGTATTTGCGGTTAAATAGTATACACCTATAAAAAGTTAAATTATGAAAAGCTGTGTGATGAATATATCGATGACAATACAAGAGGAGCCACAGAGACTGTTTATGTACAATCAGAAACCTTCCTGGAATTTAGTTTCTTGGTTTAGGGTCGTGGTTTCATGGCAGCGGTTCTCAAGCTGTGGGTCACGACCCCTTTGGGGGTCCAATGACCCTTTCACTGGGGTCGCCCGATTCACGACAGTAGCAAAATGACAGTGATGAAGTAGCAACGAAAATAATGTTATGGTTAGGGGGTCACCACAACCTGAGGAACTATATTAAAGGGTCGCGGCCTTAGGAACGTTGAGAACCACTGCTTTAGAGCTTCTGTTCTACCTCCTATAGGTAGATGCTCAGCATCTGGGGTCTTAAAAGCTTGCAGGTGGCCATCTAAAACCGGCAAATAATCTCATTTCCCCTGGAACAACAGAGGAAGAAAGAGAGGTAGGAATCAGAGAAGACTGTGAAACATGGCTAATTGCCTCAATAAGCAAATGTTTGGTTGTTTTGCTTTGATGGGAGAGCAGAATTGAGTGACTGGCACCTACTGCGAGACATTTTGGTCCAAGAGTCCACAGAAGAATCGTGGTTAAAAGGAGAAAATGCAGAACAGATTTTCAAATGTTCATGGACTCTAGACTTTCTGGAGCCATGGAAGGTGAATGAACTCCCAAAAGTGTTGCCCTGAGATAATCTCTAAATCTTAAACCTAAACTATCACCTGAAGTCTTCTTAAAACTAAGCAGTTGTAGCTGATACAAAAAGATCTGCCTTGAGCATTGGGTTCTTTTAAGAATCACTTTATGGATTCAAATGTACAACTGTTGCTTGAAAGATTACCTAGGTCAGAACAAAAAATCTTACCATAGTGAATGATGGGGGGAGTGTGGAGTCGAGACCCAAAGCCCATCTGTAAGCCACTGGAGATCCCCTTGCAGAGGGGTTTCAGGGAGGGGACGAGTCAGACAAGGTGCGATGTAGCAACGATGAAAAATACAACTTTCCTCTAGTTCCTAAATGCTTCCTCCCTGCCCCACCCCCACCCCCCGCCTCCCCCCCACTATCATGATCTGAATTCTACCTTGCAAGTCTGACTAGACAGAGGATGTACACTGGTACAGATAGGAACTGGAAACACAGGGAATCCAGGGCAGATGATCCCTTCAGGACCAGTGGTGTGAGTGGTGATACTGGGAGGGTAGAGGGAGAGTGGGTCGGAAAGAGGGAACCTATTACAAGGATCTGTATGTGACCTCCTCCCTGTGGGACGGACAACAGAAAATTGGGTAAAGGGAGATGTCGGACAGGGCAAGATATGACAAAATAATGATATATAAATTATCAAGGGCTCATGAGGGAGGGGGAGCGGGGAGGGAGGGGGAAAAAATGAGGACCGGATGCCGGGGTCTTAAGTGGAGAGCAAATGTTTTGAGAATGATGAGGGCAATGAATGTACAAATGTGCTTTACACAATTGATGTATGTATGGATTGTGATGAGTCGTATGAGCCCCTAATAAAACGATTAAAAAAAAAAAAAAGAAAGGAGCCTTATTGAATGAGTTTGCGTTGCTGGGAAGGAACAACCAGGGGTGAGGGGGGGCACACGTCAATGTACGTGGTCAGTGCCCCTCGTGGTACATGAGGAAACTGCGCTGTTTTGTTGTGTATATTCTCAACAGCGGCCAAATTAAAATTTTAAGAATATATACTGTAGATGTTGTAAGTTTGACAACAGAGCCATTGGCACTCAGTCCACCGCTTTAATTAAGACCCCAACCCCAAGAAAAGTGCTACTCGATGGAGAGTCACTTAGTGACTCCGCTTTCAGGAACGCTGATTCCAATTGGCAGTAGCTGCCCAGAGCTCTATCATGGAAAAGATTGGGAAGCCTTTACCTTTCTCCCAAATTGGAAACGTCTTTTTTCTGAAGTACAGGGTTGCAGGTCAAGAGATGTTTTTCTTTTAAGGGATAGAAATGTACTTGCCTTTGGAGAGTGGTTTTATTGAGAGATGGCTCACCCACTGAACGTGTACAATGTGGTTGCTTTTAGTACTCATTTATTCACAGAATTAGCCAACGATCACCAAACTCCGAGAGCTTCGTTCCAAATAGCTGTACCATTATAAGTAGTGTCTCATCATATGCTTGCTTTTTAAATTCAAGCCTTTCTAGCAGTGGGCTGTGATGCTACATTAAAACAGATTCCAGTCCTGTCCCAGGAAAATGTGGCCACTTGACCTTGACAAGGCATGGTTCCCTCTCTTCCGGGGTCATTTCCAGCAGACTCCACTTTGTGGCCATGAGAAAGCAATAGCTTCACCAGAGAGAAGTGAGTGAGTCTGTGTTGGGTTGCTGGGGTAACCTAGGTGATATCTGAATCCACACATCGCTGAGAAAAGGTAACCCATTGGTAAACTAAGCCCAAGTATTTATTGAGATTGTGCAGCGAGAACGATAGCAGAAGGAATTTTGGATACAGAAACTGTTCTACAAGCACCTCGCGAGGCATGGGAGAGCCCTCAGACATGTCTGCTGCCATAGCACCCGGGAATGCGGCCTGATAGCGCTGAGAGAGGTTAGCAGAGTTTGAAGTCCAGCTTTCCTCCGAGCTGCCCGCCCTGGCCTCATTTGCCTTCAGTGTGGCGTAGAGAGGGTAATAAGCAAAATCTGACCATCTTGACACTTGGAAAAGTGGGAAGAATTCCTTTTCCTTTTTTTTTAAGAGCCAAGTCACTAGTCTAATTTTAGACAAATGACTTTCAAAATTAAACAAATATATCCTGGTGATTTTAGTGACAGCAAGAATTTGTCACGTTATGGGCCCCCAGTTGATTCTTTGGAGTAAAATACAAGGCCTATTATCAAGAACTTAGCGAGGAAGAGATTGTCCGTAACTATGCATAAGTAGAATTTTATGCATAAGTGGAACTTGGCCAAAAAACAAAAGCTTTCCTCTCAATAACTCCCTGGTGCCTAGGTATGCTCAGGACCCTGTTAGAGAGTCTGTATATTTTTCTAAATTAGTATATCCTCTTGGTTTTGTTTTTATTTGGGGGGCAGGGGGCGGGGGGTAGCTCTCTTCATTATTTTAGCATTTCATTTCAGCCTACAGCATGAACTAGTTTTATACAAGCAAAAGAGTACTGGGAATTGGATGTAGCCTAAATAGAAGAATACGTATTCTCCCTTGTTTTCCTTGCAGGGTGCGGTACATCTTGAATGTCACTCGAGAGATAGATAACTTTTTCCCAGGAGTCTTTGAGTACCATAACATCCGGGTATATGATGAAGAGGCAACAGATCTGCTGGCCTACTGGAATGACACGTACAAATTCATCTCGAAAGCAAAGTGAGTAGTGTAGAATTGTGACACATAGCTAGTGTTCTGACTTTTGTCTTTGAGTTCCACACACGGCTATAAATAACTTACTGATGGCACTCAGGGAAAGGAAGTATCATCTGGGAGCATTTTAATTAAAATATTGAAAAAGACTAGTGACTGAATACCTTTCCTTCTAAGTGAATGAAGCCCCTAGGTAGAAGAATGTAACCTCCTGCTGGCTGTTTCCCTTGGATAGAAAGTTAGAGGAAAGAGGCTTGAGCTGCAGCAAGGGAATGGAAATGAAGAAGAAGTTCTGAATGAGATTTTAAGTTCCCATCGAGGAGGTCTGAAGGTTATGTAATAGACATTCTCCTAAAACGGTGTAATGCCAGGCCCTGAGAGAAACTGAGCAAGCTTTGGGAATCCTTTTCCGTTCTTTTACCTTATCTGTAGGATAAGCTAGATGGTGAGGTTTTCCTCTGGATTTTCTGTTGATGTCTTAATTAGGTTTTATTAGTCTTAACTATTTAATACTTAGTGCTTACTATTAACTAGTATGTCAATACTGCATATTTTTTTAAATCTCCTGGTGCCTGCCCTACTCATTACTCTTTAATTAAAAAGCCAGTAACTAAAACACACTGCCATTGAGTCAATTCCGACTTGGATTGACCCTGGATACAGACTGGAACTGCTCCTTAGGGTTTCTGAGACTAACTCTTTACAGGGGCAGACAGCCTCATCTTTCTCTTGGGGAGTGGCAGGTGGGCTTGAACCATCAACCTTGTGGTTTTTAGCCTTGTGCTTAACTCACTGTTCCACCAGGGCTCCTTTCCTTCACTGAAAGGAATCATAAATGAGCGTCTTGGAATGTTACCTTTCAAGGAAGACCACATTCCTTCAAAAATTATTCAGCACCTCTCAAGAGTCTTCAAGCTTCTGCCTAATTCCCAACAGGAAGTTTCTTAAAGCTTCGTGGCCAGGAAGTTTTTCTTTCAGTTACCCTGCCTTTCTCACACGCTCATGAGCCCGTTTTTTCCAGTTTCTCACCGGTACCTGAAAGAACAGTCGTGAAGTCTGTTAATAAATTACTCCCTGCAGCCGTGCCTTTCGTGATTTGCTCACCGTGGACCAGACCAGACACTTTACATGCATTATCTCATGTAATTGCTTCCAAAACTCAGGGAGACAATACTGTCATCCTGTACAAATGAGGTTCAGAGCACAAAGATAGGACTTGAACCTAAGATTATGCCTTACTTCAGACCAATAAAATGTAGTACTCAAGAGTAGACTAGTTACCTGAGGAAAGGGGACTAGAAAGAGCTAGACCAATTGTCAGAGTCCCAGCAAAAAGAGTAGCTAATTTCAGCCAGGCTATGATTAGGGTACAAATGAGGCGCCCAGTGAGCCGCGTTTAAGGAGGTGCTGACCTACACTTACCCGCGCCTGAGAGTGTGGACCCTATAAATCTGGCACCATAGGTACCTCCTGTGGCTGATCCTAGTCAGAACTGTTGAGTTTCAGATCCTACCTCATATGGGCTTATGATTCTCAAGTGGTACCTACCAGGCTTGCTTACCCTGCAAGAGGATGGAATTGGTTTAGATAACAGTTACACTTCAGATCCCTCATCACATAAGTTAGACAGACGTCATCCAATGAATGACTCCATTCAAAATGCACTGAAGTGTATTTGAGGTGTAGGGGGTTTTATAATGGTATTTTTCTTAGGGTTGTCCAAGTTTGAGCACCTTCTGTACCTGTAGGCATAGAAGTTTGATGCGCTAAAGCCCTCGGAGCTTGAAGGGAAAATACAGAGCACATGTCTAAGCTTCCATCTGAGGCACTGTGAGTTGGCTTCCTAAGTGAAATCCCTATGACGCTAGAAAACAGAAGTGTTTAGTTGCTAGTCACGTGGGGGTGATCTGAGCGCACAGAGAGATATACCCGCCCCACCTTAAGACAGCAAACTTTCATACCAGCTAAGAGGTTAATCTCGCCTTTCCTTTGAGACGTTGCGACTATTCCAGACTGTTTTCTGCGTTCCTCTAGTTTATCTAGCTTGCTCACTTTGGCATGTACCGGTAACCTCATACCTCCTGCTTTGATTCTTAACTCTTTCATACATCTGTATTTCCAGCAGCAGGGTTATAAACTTCTGAAAGGAAGCTTGTCTGCCATTCAATCCTTACTGGAATAGCCACTGGGGCAGGACTCCAGAGCCTGTGACATTAGTGATAAGAGTAACTGTTCTTTTCCGTATTTTAAACCCCTGGTCCTGCTTAATCAACTGGAAGCTTAAATTGATCAGCAGATTTATAAGGTTGTATATACATTCAGCAAGCATTTGAAGGCCTACTATGTGCCAGACACTGTATTATTAGCAGAATTAGTATAGCTGAATCATGTTCACATCCAAGGTCGTGAGCTCTGGCATGTCCAGACTGAGGGGTCTTATTTGGGGTTTTGATTTCTAGGGAGTAGCTTTGGGTTCTTTTTCTTCGGCCTCATTAAAAACAAAAACAAAATCGACAGCAGGCAGTTCACATTCATTCCGCCTTCGTCACTGAGAAAGCCATTTGGTGTACCACGTGTCCCCATCCAACTCCACAGGCTGTATTGCCAGTCCCTGGATTGGGCACTGGTTGTGATGTTGTGAAAACTAATATCCAAGGCTACATCTGAGAAGAAAGGAGAGTGGGTTTCATTTGGTTTGTGCTTTCCTCCGGGGACAGCACCCTTCCTAGAACTTGAGCTGGACCCCACTCAGAACATTGGAATCAATTAGATGAATCAATGCCACACCTGCAGCTCAAGAGCGTGCCAGCTCCTCTGAGGGGACTGACCTTGCTCCGTGCACAAAGTGGGGTCTTGGCACTTAACCAAATTGAATTACAGTTGTCTGTCCCTCCCCCCGTCCTCCCCTGTAGGGCAAAAACTGCATGTTTGTCTTTGCAGACCAGCAGCTTGCACATAGTCTTAAGACATGGTAAAGATTTGCTGAATATTGTTAAGAGAGTACACTAGAACTGCTTACCTCCCCACATGTTTGATTATAGACGTGAGATAAACCCACCAAGGTTAGGGAGGGGGCAGTGTAGCAAGAAAATGGAAGGGCCAGATGGGAAACTTGGAAAAATTAAGAACCCAGCTTTTTAAATAGACTCACTGTTGGTTGTGTGTGTGTGTATTTTTCTTGGTCCTTAAACTAGGAAACACGGGTCTAAATGCCTGGTGCATTGCAAGATGGGGGTGAGTCGCTCCGCCTCCACCGTGATTGCTTATGCAATGAAGGAATATGGCTGGAATCTGGACCGGGCTTACGACTACGTGAAGGAAAGGCGAACCGTGACCAAGCCCAACCCCAGCTTCATGAGACAACTGGAAGAGTACCAGGGGATCTTGCTGGCAAGGTGAGTCCAGAAGTGACTTTCTCAGATAACCTCCTCCCTTAAGCCTTCCCAAGGCCTGTCAAAATGCGCTTCTTAGCAACGAGTTCCCAGACTAATTTGGGCGAGGTACTTTTTTGAAAATGGACATATTCTTTTATCAGTCTAATTGAAAATGATAATAATAAACAAAAGCACTTAAGATTTGCATGGACCACCCCACCACCACCGCAAAATAAGATTAGCAGGCACCCATGAAATTGGTACGTTAAATGGTAAGTAATTAACTAGGAAAACTATTCCCTTTGGGCAGTGAGATCTAAAGAATTGTGTCGGTGATTTCACATTGATGGTAATTCCAAAACACAAAGAGGAAGTGTGGGGACAGAGAGGCTAACGTAATGATGGTGAGCAAACGCGGGTTGGGATGGCAACAATGGTAACAGTTGCAAAGAGACCCGTGCCATCGAACCGTACACGTAGAACGTGTCAGATGAGCATCTGTTTGCCGTGAATATTTTCACCACCACCCCAAAAAATTAGCATGGAAAATTAAACATCTAATCTTGTGGGTGGATAAAATTAAACTAAAGGACGAAATATTCTTCGCCTGATTTCAGTTCTCAACAAGGTACAGATTTTAATAAACATTTCTCACTATCTTATGAGGCCAGGTGTCAACTACCCTATAAAAATGGATCCCTTTTATTTCCGAGGTGATGCTCACACCGCCCTCATTCCCCCCACCCCAACGCCCCCTAAATCAAACCCAATGCTATTGAGTGGATTCTGATTCCTATTGGCCCTGACCCTATAGGCAAAGTAGGGCTGCCAAGATAAGATGTGTATAGAAGCAGGCTCCTCCAGGACACACAAGTGGGTTCCACAGCCAAGCACCCAACCTGCGTCACCGGTCTCCTAAAGACTGCCAGGCTTTCAGAAATTCTCCAGTTTAAAAAAAGTGCCTGCTGCCCCGGGCATTCCTCTGTCCAGTGTGCAGTTTTATTGAGCTGTGTCAGGTATTTTTGGTCCTGTGACAAATCAGTAGCCTCAGAATATACTTGTATGTGACCCATTGAGGTATGAAGGTACTTTCCAGAAATAAATCATGTCAGTTTCCTTTTAAAAGTATATCATTAACCAATTTCACATATATGCTTTGCAAAAATACAGAAAACCCAAAGAAACAAATAATTTATGAGCTCAGCACCTCCCTTTAGACCTGTTTGAAGGCTGTTTCAGGGTTGTTTGCTCTTTAAGGTGAAGGGAAACGCACATGGATTAAGCCCCCGGTGAGTCCCCTCTGACCATGGACCAGCTAACCTTGCAGAAGGAACTGGAAAATGGACCGTGGCAGATACAGTTAGGTTAAAATTTAGCACCATAGTGTTTGATCACCCTTATGGTCCATTTAAGTTTGTTCTGGTTTTAGTCTTGAGTCTTTTCTATTGAGGTTTTTAACTGTTTCACTTTGTTGTTCTCTTTTGTTTGTATGTTTTTTTAATGTTTTTCTGTTTATGAAATCCAGGATAAGCAAATCTACAGAGACAGTAACTGGATTAATGGTTCCTTGGGAGTATGGCAAGGAAGGTTGGGGGGAAATAGGGCACTAATAATAATTAGTATAAGAATGAAGAAAATGTGTAATATGTGACTTACATGCCAATAAAACTGTCGGGGTGGGAGAAAGCTTAATGTCTACAGCAGTCAATATTGCCTTACCTGTTTCTCCAGGTCTTACTTCATCATCCATCTATAATGAGGATTTTTTCCCCAAAAAATTTTTCTTCTACAGCTTGGCTCTCAGCATAGTAGGCCTCAAGCATCTCCCTGTATCAATAGGAACCAACTGTTTTCAACAATAATAATTTAGTAAATTGGTTATACAATGAGTAATTAATTGCACTACATTGATTACTACTCTGTTGGTTGTGAAAGCCACTGTCAGTTGCTATCAGGAACAAGTTTCAGATATTAAACTGGGTTTATGGATCTGTTTCCCGGGATGTGCTAAGTTTAGCTGTTTTTCCCATGTCGACATGTTCTAGGTGGTTTTATTAGGGCAAAGGCACAGCTGCCTAGAAGCAGTTGGGGCTGATGCCAGGGTTTGACTCCAGTGAGTCTCATGACTTGGTCTTGACTCTTGAAACTGGGCTGTGTTTTCCCTGAACAAAATGTTTCCAGCCTATCCAGGCAAAGGGACCCCCTCCCATCCCCGAAGTATTGTGAAAATGCGGCCACAGCCTAGCGTTATGGCTTCCACTAAAACATAACCCCTCCCATTTACTCAGTACTTGGCGTGAGTTCATTGGAGCCATTCTCTGAGGAGGCTGGGAGGGATATGCAAGCCGCCTCTGCTTAAAAATAATTTTAGGTCTTTAGGGCCAGATTTTGATGACATTTTTAGATTAGATCAGAAGGTAGGACACAGCAGTTCTTTTTGGCAGAAGAAAGGGGCATCTGAGGATTTGGTGAGACATAAATATTGTATATTCCCAGACACACACACATGAGAGATGTTAGGCAATGTCCCCACGTGACCCATCGAGAGGAAGGATACTATGTGTCCTGCCAATTTCAGTATTTTTTCTGGAATCCTAGTCTATTGCAAGCTGCTGGGTTGGGTTTTTCAAGCGTATGTGGTTTTTCTTGGATGTTAAAGGAATTTCAGAAAAATCTTAGATGGGGACAAGAAGGGCAGCAGAAACCCATAAATCACACTTCTTCCTCTCCTTTTTCGTTCCATCCTGTCTTCCAGTGCTTGATTCATAAGAGGGGCAGGTCCTGGGGAGTGAGAAAACCACAGAATTAAGAGTAAATCTGGTTCCCATTCTTTCCACCCCTTGCTGCAACCTTGAGTAAGTTAGTTCCTGTTTCTGATCCTGACCTGACCCCTACCTCTAAAGTTAAAATCAGGAGACTTAAAAGACTTATGTTGCCACAGGATTATTGTGAATTAAAATGTGCATAAATCCACATTTGTACTCTTAAAGGGTTATTCAGATGTAAATACTCAAATACATGTGCTATTTGTTTCCTCTTCCTTGGCATCAAACTGTGCCTCCCACCACCCACAAAGGCAGTAACTTCCTGAGAAACTGGAATTGGAAGTGGCCCTGGAATTCCCTGTTGGGATGTTTTCTGGCTTTTAGGAACTAGAATTGAATACTAGGGGCATCAGTTAGGCCACTTGGGTTTTTCAAGTTATAAGACACCTCCATCAGCCTGCATCTCTGCAAGAAACATATGGCACAGGCAGACAGCCCCTCGAGATCCAGAGAGGGGAAGGAGCAGGTACTGGAACCAGGAAGAATCCCATAGAGAAGAACACCTTCAAAGAGGTGGCCTGCAGTCAGAGGACACAGCCCACTGGGGACATCTGCAAATGGAATCCCCAACAACTGGCCAAAGAAAGAAAAGGATTGTTTTAATTAGAGAGGAAGACCTCTCCCAGAAGTCCACTAGCAGACTTCCCTTCAGGACCCATCAGCAAGGGTTGGAATATAGTCCTAAAGTCTGTATCTGGCCAGAGAGAGCGAGTATCTAGACTGACTAAAACACCACAGTCCTGATCCTTCAGGGCTAGAGAAGTGTCACTTTTCCTGGACCAAATGCTCTGCTAGTGAGGGGGCAGGATAAAGTTGAAAATATTTCTTAGGTATACAGCCATTAGGGTCAATAATCTACCATGTGTTGTTAAAAAACCTTGACATTTGTAGGCTACCTGCCAAAACAGGGAGCCCAGCAGACCCTTGGCCAGCCCTGGTGTGCTGCTCTGGGTCTACCAGCTTAGAAAAACCTAGCACCACAGGTGACCAGAGTTGGTGACTATCTTTTAATCAACAGATCCCTGGATGGTACAAACTACTAGCCAGAAGGTTAGCCATTCAAACTCACTCAGAGGCAATCTGCTTCCGCTCTCAGTCTCAGCCTTGTGAGCCCTGGGGAACAGTTGTGCTCTGCACACGTGACGTTGCCACGAGTCGATTCTATCTACAACAACAGCATCTCTTAGTCAAGAGTAGGATGGTGTAGGCCCAACAGTGACTAAATCAGGACTTTGTGTAATATAAAGGACTTTTAGCATCTTCCAGTATGTCACTGAGAGCCTGGTAGAGAAGGTTTATATTTAATACTCCCCTTTATACCTAAAACAGGGGGCATTATAAAACCCCTAATAGTGTCCCTATCTCCTTTATTTCTGTTTGTACACCTGGGGGATGGGAATGAGGCAGAAATGGGGAGTGCGTGCGTGCGTGCGTGCGTGCGTGCGTGTGTGTGTGTGTGTGTGTGTGTGTCCTCGTCCGCAGCCTTGTCTGTTATCCTGCACTCTGATCACGCAGGTGTCTGGCAGATTTATGTTGCATTAGGCAGGCTCAGATTTCAGGCAGACCTCTGGCAAGCTGGACCATGTGTCTGTGGCATCAGGTTCCAGTATAAGGGGGCAAGTAGGGAAAACTGGGTGGTGGCCCGGGAGAGTTCTTCCCACATGTCCTCACAGATGTCACTCTTTATTCTTTGGATGCCCTCACCTCCAGGACGGGCAGAAAAGAGTGGTCTTTTCGCCCAGCTCTGCTGGTGGGCAGTTGGAAGTGTAGTTGGCACGTGTGCCGTGCTCACCCAGAACACAGAATCCAAGAGTGCTGAAAAGAGGCGGATTTCTGGTGACTGCCAAGTACAATTGAGGTTTAAAAGGTCTCCTTAATAGCTTTGCTGTGAAATAACCCTAAAATGTCTGGCACCGTGCACCCCAAAACAAAACCACTGTCTTTGAGTCCATCCCAACACCTAGTGGCCTTGTACAGAGTTTCAGAGACTCTCAATCTTTATCGGAGCAGACAGCCTCATCTTTCCCCCTAGGAACAGCTGGTAGATTTGAGCGATCCACCTTGGGCACAAACAGAGTTGATGCTTTCCTGAACAAAAGATAACAAAAAACTCCATTGCCATCCAGTCGATTCCAGCACATCGTGACCCTGTAAGACAAAAGTAGAACTGCCCCTTGGTGTTTCCAAGACTAAATCTTTATGAGAGTAGACGGCCTCCTCTTTCTCTTGTGGACCAGCTGGTGCATTTGAACTGTTGGCTTGTGGTTAGCAGCCCAGTGCTTAACCCACTGTGCCACCAGGACTCCGTGAACATGAGAAAGTGGAGGCAAGAGAACAGCAAACCCTGTGCATCTGTCACTGAAATGCCTTCCTGGTCATTTGCTACAAGGTCAAGTTCCTACCCGGAATAGCTCCATCATCGCAAATGTGTCTGTGTTTACGTGACTTCAGATTCGGGTCACAAGCCACCCGAGAGAAACATTAAGCAAAAGCAAAGCAAAGAAACCTGTGATTTGATTACATCGTCCACGCCACAAACCAGTTCTGAAACTCTGGCTTCCTGTTTACTCAGTGCCTGTCTGGAATAAGTGGTGGAGTCAGTGGACTTAAACCTTAACCATTTAAAATCAGAGATAGGACCTAATATTTTACATCTCTCCTCGATGGCAGTGAGTTGGGTTGTTATTATGAATCATTGGTCCTATTAAAGTAGCCTTAGACAGAACCTACTTAGGAAAAGGCTTCAGTGGAAAACATTTGGGGTCACCAAGAAAGCTGATGATGTATACTTACTGTAGGACCCCACCTTTCTCCTCCTATAGGGAGCACCTCTTGAGAAACCAAGAGTGTATTGTAGCACCTGTTGTTTGTAATAGCCAAACCTGTTCATCAACAAAATGGACAAATAAACTGTGACGTATCCCTCCCAGTTCTGTAATTGCAGCCACATACAGCTATGAATCTTAAAACGGAATACATTCTGTATGAATTTTATATACATCAAGTTCAAACTGTGAAAGGCCAGGTAGTATTAAAACAAAAACGTAGTACGAAGTGCTACTGTAAAGAGCAGGGGACCGATAAGCAAACACATTCAGGACGGAGGTCACCTCTGGGGACATGGCACAGCAGTGGTAAGGACAGGCTTAACTGGGTGAGAGCTGCCTGCCACATCCTATTCCTCAGATCCAGCTTCTCTCCGCTCCACAGAGCAGTCACCAGCTTCATTCTGGCTGGTGGTTTCTGCCAGTTCTCCTCAGAGGAAGTGAGGGTGGTCCCTACTGAGCAGCACAACCACTTGCTCTGAAAGCTGCCCCTGTGTGCATGGCTCTGCTCTCATTCATTCATTCCCTCCTGGTTGCTGCTGGTTCACAGGCAGTCACACTCAGACGAGAAGATAGATGGGATCCTGAAAACATCCCATTTGCTTGTTAACTTGATCTGAAACGCTGTTCTTTTTAGTGTTAGAAGGAGGAGGGAAAAAGAGCTCCCTCCAGGTCCTGTGTGTTGTCCCAGCAGCCCCTCACCCCTTCACCCCGGATTTCTTCTCCAGTCCTTTGTAGCACAGGAATTGCCCTGCCAAGGGTGGGTAGGAGGAGTTGGTGCGCGCTTGCAGATCCTCATGGTAAGAGGGACAGAGGCTGGAGAACAGTCATCACTAGGGCAAGGAAAGGGGGCCGTCAGAATACACGAGAGAAAACAATGTAAAGGAAGAGCATTGGCCAGCCTTGGAGGGTCACCGCGGTCTGATCCCAGCTGTCAGCCTGGCCCTTCCCACCAGCCCTCACTCATTTGTTAGAGACGCCTGAGATGTTGTCTCCTCCTAGGGGTGGCTTGAGTTCCTGCAACTCGGAAAGTGTGAAACAGCCCCCCACCCCCACCCCCCTGGTCTTCATACACAGATTGACCTCCCTGCTCTGGAAAGCACCCCTCTGCTGGCCCGGCCTGAGTCAGAGAGCACCCCACCCACCAACAGGATGAGAGCAGGTGCAGAGCTGAGAACAAACAGGTTCACGTCAGTGCAGGCGCCTGACTCGGCAGCCCGGGCGGGGTGGCCCCCGAGCCCAGGGCAAGTTCTGTGCAGTTTCCCATTCCACCGCGAAGTTGGCTAACTTCCTGAGCATGTAAGGAAGGGAGTCAGAACCTCCAAGCAGGAATCTTAGTGACCTGTTTGTTCCCTGGGCAGGTAGGTAGTCTTGGTCAGTCTCAGGGCTAGCCAAGGCTTTCGGTAACTGAGGAGCCCAGGCGGCTCAATGAGTTAAGCACTTGATTGCTGACAGAAGGGTGGGCAGCTCAGACCCACCAGTCGCTTGTCTTTCATAAAGATGGTTGGTGGTGGGTGCCATAGCATCAGCCTGACTCACAGCAACCCTGTGTATAGCAGAATGAACAGTACTCAGCCCCGGCCCTCCTCACGGTGCACACCACGCTCCATCAAGCTGCCCCTCCTTTTGGATTTCCCGGCCCATCTGTGCTTCCCAGTTGAAGAACGATCCCCACTGTCCTCACACCTCGTGTCAGCCCTTAACCCCGTCAGCTTTTTACCCCAGTTCTGAGGACGTGGCCACGGGCCCCAGTAGAAGATTCCCCTTCATATTACTTGTCTTTTGTTTTGATTACAGGGATTTTTCCCCTAAGGTTAAACATGCTGATTATTTTAAAAATTCAAAAATCAAAGAAATAGAGTCTAGAAAGGAAAAGCCCCGGATATTTCTGCCTATTTCCCAAAGAAACCCCACTACTGCCAATTTTTTTCCATATACATATTTTAACATGGGGATAGAACGTTCCAAGTGTGAGTGCTACAAGTGCTGGTCACTTAACGGACTACTTTGGACATCGTTCTGCTGAAACACCTGACTGCTTTTTAACAGCTTCGTTACGCACAGTTGTGTGAACTGTACTTCATAGAAACTTTTTGTGTAAGTCTAGGTTTTTACTGTTACAAACAGTGTTGAAACAAGCATCTTTCTATGCATATCTTTGGGTATTAAGAGTAGTTTTTCTCCAAGGGAAAAAATGCTTACTTACTGAGAGTTCTTGTCACCCTGCGGTCTTGAAAATTCACTTTGCGACCAACAGCGCAGAGCAAGTTTGTTTGGTCACATTGTTTGAACTACCATTTTAACTCTCATCGGTCTCTTGGGTTAGAAAATGAATCCGCTCTCCTGTTAGTTTATTGTTGTAGGTTGGTGATGTTTTGCTACTGGTTATGGTGAGCATCTTTTCAAACAAGGGTCAGCTGGTTCTCTGGGACCATTGGCGAAAGCACTGGAGGGTTAGGATCTAAGTTATCTGGGAGCAGTTTCTGGGAGGGTGTTGACTGCTTTGCACACCAGAGTAAGCCCTTTCCCGTCTGTCTCCTCCGCAGCAAACAGAGGCATAACAAGCTCTGGAGATCTCACTCGGACAGCGACCTCTCGGACCACCACGAGCCCATCTGCAAGGCAGGACTAGACCTCAACAAGAAGGAGATCACCACTTCAGCGGACCAAATTGCGGAGGTGAAGACCATGGAGAGCCACCCCCCGATACCCCCCGTCTTTGTGGAACACGTGGTCCCACAAGATACAACCCAGAAAGGCCTGTGTGCCACCGAAAGAATGATCTGCTTGGAGTTTACTTCTCGGGAATTTCGCGCTGAGCAGCTAGAGGATGAGTTAAACCTAAATGACATCAATGGGTACCCATCCGGGTGTTGTCTGAAGGAGTCAAAACTCCCCCTTGATAACTGCCATGCAGCCAAAACCTTCATCCCAGCTGGACAGGCCCCAGAAATGACCAACGACTTCCCAGACCTAGAAGTGGAAGACTTGGAGGCCGACGCGCTGAGAGCAGACATGAACGTCCACTTGCTGCCTATGGAAGACCTGACGTCTCGCCTGAAAGACCTCCCCATGTCCCCTGACCCGGGGTCACCGAGCCCCCAGCCCGCTGGCCAGGCCCAAGTCTCTGATTTCAGTACAGACCGCATTGATTTTTTTAGTGCCCTAGAGAAGTTTGTTGAGCTGTCCCAAGAAACCCGGTCCCAGTCTTTCTCCCACTCCAGGACGGAGGAATCGGGTGGCGGAAGGAGTGAGAGCTGCCGAATGTCTGTGACAGAAGTGACGCCTTCTGAAGTGGCCGCTGATGACCAGAGAAGTAGCTCTCTGAGTAACACTCCCCAGGCCTCGGAAGACTCTTCGATGGATGAGGAACAGGCCAAGGTAAAAGCTCCCTTTACGGCTCTCCGCCTAACGAAGGCCCCTTCAAAGACAAATGTCCGGGCTTCTGCTCTGTTTGCTCAATGTCACTTAATACTTAATGTTGCTGTAGATTTAGAAATTCAAGATGGGAGGGACGGTGTCAAGGCTGAGGTAGACTTTGAAAACTTAGGGTTTAGCTATGTTTTTAAGCAGTGCCATTTAAGGAATTTCTCTCTTCCGGCTTCTGGTGTCACTGAAAGTGCTTTTGAGAGGGGGGATTCGCCATGTGAATGTCTTAGTTGAACAAAGAGAGGTACCCCTCCTTGGGCTCTCTAGTTCAGGTCCCTTGTCACCAATAATGAAGTCAGACCTGTGTCTCTGGGAAGATGGGTTTGCTGGGGAAATTATTGCTGCTGGAAAAACGCAAAGACTAGGCATGTGTAAATAGTTAGAGTAGAAATTGATCCTCATACTGAGTTCTTGCGATTAATAATGCTGCTGAATGGTGGCTCGTTCCAGACCCAGTGGTGCTTAATCATTGTGAGGGCTGGACGGGGGAAACGATGTGAGAGCCAGTGGAGCCTACGGTTCTTCTTAGTGGCCTGTGTGTTCTGATGTTCCGCCTCAGTACAAGGAAAGACTCACTGCTCCGTCATCAGTTCTAAGATTCACACCCTCTCTCAGCTCGACACTTCAGAAACGAATGCGTCTTCTAGACGCCGGTGTCTTCGATCGATACACAACTGCAATTGGGAAGCAAAGGGTGCACATTCACTCTGATTTGCCAGCGGCCGCTGGTGGTTTTGTGGGGCCGAGAAGTGGGTTTGGGTCACTTGGCTGGCGTCAATTCCTGACACCTCCTGATGTCCAGCTGCTTATGCTTCCCAGTGTTCCCACTCAGCTGTTTCCTCCTGAGCTGCCCCAGGCAATCCTTGCTTCTGCCTGTCTTCTCCTTTCCCCGTTTCTTTTTTACTGAGAAGTTAGAGTGCGTGAGCCCTCCTTTGGACCGGGTGTGGTGGAGCACCACTGACAGGAATAGCTGTTTGGCCAAGACCTTGGTCATATGAGGGTTCTCGCCACAGGCCATGCCCACACCAGGCTGGCTGGGCCTTCTCTCCCTGTCTGGGCAAGTGTGCCCTGGCAGAGCCCTCCCAAAGACACGACCGGCCTCATCCGTTCGTAGAAGCCCTGACTCTTCTGAAGAAGAAAACCCTGCGCACTGCCAAGGGAGATGACTGTGTTTTGAAATCGTACCTCAAAAAAACGTGTCACAGCATAGGTTGGTGGTCGTAATTCATGCCTCGAAGAGATACCCAAAGACCGTGTGCATATTTTTTCAATCTTATTTTTATTTTTACACCAGGACCTGATTTCACATTGGCCACATTCTCTGCTTTTCCCCTAAATCCATCTCAAATAGCCCCCACACTCAAAGCCCTGCCATCGAGCTAACCAGCCCTGACTCATAGCGGCCTGTGCGGGGTTGCCAAGACGACCCTTCCCAGCAGCAGCCGGCTTCTTCTGTCTCACAGAGCGGCCCCGGGTTACATTGTCAGAGACATAGTGTCCAGGTTTGCCGAGCTCTGTGGCTGTATCATGAGCCAAGTAAACCATTGCAGAAGGAGCCGGGTGAATCTTGGGGATTGTGGGTCAGTCCTAAATTGCGTTCCCCCTGCCCTGCTGTCTAGGAGGGCGCAGATGAAAGCCAACAAGCTGGAGGAGGAGAGACACAGCCAGTGACCCATCAGGCGTCAGATGTAGCCTCACCCATTTCAGTCTAAGGCGCGTGTAAGGTGACCATCAAGCCTGAGTGGAACGCTTGGCCTAGAGCCAGCCTAGGATCAAACTGGGGGTTACTAGACCAAAGGGAAAGCATTTCAGTTGCCCCAATCCGGCCCGAACCCTGAGTGCTCGTGGTCATAGAAAAGTAAGGAGTATGGGGCCTTCCGAAGCTAGTTTCTGCTAATTTCTGAAGCAAGGTATTAAATTGGAATCCTGCTTGAGGAAATAGAACAAAATGTTACAGGCCTGGGAACTGATTTTGTATCTCTGGCCTTGGATCGTGGTTTCTCTTTCCCCCTTGTACCACGAAACAGATGGTCAGAGTACAGCCCCAGGCACTCCATTATCTGTGTCCTCCTGTCCAGCTCGGCCGCCCTACTTCAGAGGGTTCATAAGCAGAACATCTGTCGTGTACCGCTGGGCTCCATTCTCCATAACCGTCTCACTGCTTTCTCTCCTCAGGCAGTCTCAGAGCTGGTCAGCCCAGACTCCTTCGTGCCGTCCCACACAGAGAACGCCGTTTCGGTCAAAGGCATCATCACCGAGATTGAGTCCATCAGTCAAGGGATGGGACAGATTCCACCGAAGGGAGACGCCCTCCCCAACCCTTGCCATACACCAAAGAAGAACGCCACGCAGGAGCTGCCGGTGGAGCGGGCCCACGCCCCGGACAGCAAGCCTGGGGGCCCGGAGCAGCACGAGGGGCCTGAACTAGCCAAAGACGCCAGGAAGTGGGACCCAGAAGGCTGCCTCGCCACGCGTTCCTTCGCGCCAGACGTGGAGGAAGAGGAACTAGCCGAAGGAGAGCCAGAGCTCCGAGGCCCAGGGATGCACCCCGGTGCCAAGTGGTACCCGGGCTCCGTAAGGCGAGCCACGCTGGAGTTTGAAGAGCGCCTGCGGCAGGAGCAAGAGCAGCATGGGGCCGCGCCCGGGAGCACCTCGTCGTCCACCCGCAAGAATTCCAAGAACGAGGCTCTGGTGGCGGACCTAGCACCTAAAGGGAAGAGTGATGAAGCTGCTCCGGAACTCTCAGTTGCCCCCAAGGAATCAGGGATGAGCCAGGCCAGAGGGGAGTGCGGGGCACCTGAGGCTGCCTCAGGGCCCCTCGCCAACCAGAAGGCCAGTGCTCCACCATCCCAGCCCTTGCCAGCTCTGAGGGAGTGCCCAGGCTCCAATGCCAGAGTGCAGCAGGAAGGAGACCTGACGGAGCAGGGCCCTGAGCACCCGTGCCCGGCACCTGAGACCCAGGCAGTACCTCTTACCCTTCCCAAGAGGATCGAGATCATCGAGTACACACACCCAGTTACATCACCGGATCACCCCGCGCCAGGGGACGACAGAGCCTCCCCCGAGAAGAGTGGCCCAGACCCAGGGCTGAGGAAGGTGACGGTGGAGAAGCCCTTTCCCATGCTCTGTGCCCTGGATGAAAACCTCAACCGGACTCTCTGCCCCCACCAGCTTCCTCTGCGCCCCAAGGTGCTCCCCCTGCCACACGCTTCCTCTCCTGAGCACTGCAGGCCCCCCAGCCTAGCCTCCACCCTGAGCAGCCCTGAAGACAGGAGCGGCAGCCCAGCGACACCCCAAGAGACAGCATCACCTCTCGCCAGTCACACAACCCACGTGCTACCTGCCGACTTGGACAGCCCGCAGTCGCAGACCGTGGTTCACCTGGAGGGCTCCACGGAGCAGAGCAGCAGCACGGACCCAGAGCCCTCCACCTGGCAGGACAGCTGGGAACAAAGCCAGGGGGGACCCCTCTGCAGGGCCACAAAGGTGCCGCACACGGGCTCCCGGTTAAATAACAACAACCTAAGCCTCATGAGCGACGTAGGTGACCCCCCTGAGGAGTTACAAGAGAAACTGGGTCCTTCACCCCGAGCTGCTTGGCTCTCACATAGCTCCAGTAGTGACAATTTAAAGAGTCTCAGCCACAGCGCCGCCGGTGTGGTGAAGGAACGTGCTAAAGCAATCGAGTCCCGAGTGACTTGCCGCCCAGGACTCATCACGCCATCCAGCCACATGAGACGCTCTGCTTCCCTCGCCAAGTTGGGCTACTTGGACCTCTGTAAAGACTGTTTCTCGGAGAGAGAGCCTGGCTCCTCTGGATCCCCTCGTCTCAAACGGCTTCAACCCTGCACCAGGACGCACTCAGGCACGCATGCCGTGGAGGCCCAGGACCCCCCAGAGAGCCCGGAGCCCACCAAGTATTCCTTAGACCAACTCAAAACAGCCGAGTGCGTCGCGCAGAGCAAGCCGGTGGAGAGGCCCCTTGTGCAGTATGCCAAAGAATTCGGTTACAGTCAGCAGTGCGCGCTCCCCGGGGCCGGGCCTGGATTGACTAGCTCCGAAGGAGGCCTCCCCTGGCTGCAGACCCAGGGCCCCCAGGGTGCAGGCCCAGCGCCCGTCCCACCGGTGGCACCCCGCCAGCAGCATGGCAGGACTCACCCCCTAAGGAGACTTAGAAAGGCGAATGATAAAAAACGGACCACCAACCCCTTCTATAACACCATGTGATTCTGAGCCTACACATGTGACTTTGGAAAAGAAATGTCTGTAAAAGGGGCAGGTGTAATACGTAAGGAACATGCACTTTATTGGTTAATTTTATAACGTTTTGGTCATTTTACTGTTCCTGGCGCATGCAGGGTTTGGGTTGTGTGTGGTGTGTATGTGAGGGAGAGAGAGAGAGAGAGAGAGATTTGAACTGCAAGACCCTATGTCTTTTCCCTTTGATTTTAAAAACCTCAACAACAAAAAAAGAAGCTCATTTTCAAAGAACACCTTTATCAGTGACAAATCGCTGGGTTTTGTGTTTTCCAATCAGCTGCCCGCTGCTCGTGTCTGCCCTCTGAGAAAAGGTGTACTTGCTTGGCAGGGGCGGAAGCTGGGCATGCCCCCCAGGACACGGGTGGTGGGCTGGTTCCCAGAGCTGAGGTTTGGGAAGGGCAGCCAACTGTAGTGGGATGGGGGGGGTGATGCCTCTGTCCCAGGCTGCAGCCGGTCCTGAGATGGGCAGCTTCTGCTTTGTTTTATAAGGGGTCTCCCAGAATCCATTTCTTCTGGTAGCGCAGGGCCCGTCGTCACAGAAAAAGGCTTTCAATGGCTGGCTTTCAATTGACCAAGCACATCGTTGTTTTCCCCCCCAAGCAAATTGTTTGACATTTAAGTTAAAAATGAACCCCCAATGAAACCCAGGAGATTGTCTCTCCTCATGGAAAGCCCGGCAGGTGGGGGGAAGGAGCCGATGGCGAGACTGCGGGGTCGGTGGCATCCACGCAGGGGTCTTCCTGGACTTGCCGTCGCTCAGCTGCATGAGGGACAGGCTTATGAAACGCGGTCCAGACGCAGTGTGTCCTTGCAGAATGGATGCGTCCACTGATAGGGTTTAACCCTGCCATGACTTGAATAACTCTGTGGTCTCTGAGTTTAAGGCCCACCCCATACCCCACCACCCCATTAATTCCCCTCCGTTTGCTCTTTCCCCAGCGCTGTGTTTGCCTTGTGTTTTTAATTTCATACATGCGATTTCAGTTGTTACATGACACCCTATAACCTCCGTTGAGAGCAGTTTTCTACATTTCCACTGTTAACACTTGACATAAGCTGCCGGGGATGTTTTTGGTTTTGCTTTTTTTAGGGTGGGGGAGTTGTCTGTTTTCCTTTCTTCCCTTCCCCTTCTCCTGGAAGGCTTGTCGTTTCTCGAGAGTCGATACACAGTATTTATGTACATAATGTCATTTTCTTAGTGTTTCATTGTTGATGTTGTAGGATCTTTTCGATTTGTTCTTTTTAAGAAGGATGGCGTTAAGCTGCAACTGGAAAACCCAGAAAGGCACCCCAGACAGAAAGCGTCTGCACAGTGCGCCATGATGGCTTCAGTTGTTTAGATGGAGAGTTCTCATCTCCACTTCCTGCCGGATATGTGCTTGTGACTTCCTCCCCCTCCCGGAAGCCCCGACGGCTCCCGTTAGATCGCTGTTTGACTGGAGACTGCAATCCAAGCCATGGTTTGCCATTAGCCGAACTGCACACAGCCAAGGGCGGCCGCTCCTTATGGCCGTGGGGAAGTGAGGCCGCGCAGGGCAGGGGGAGGGCTAAGGGCCAGGGCAGCTTGCCTGGTAATGACTCCTTTTAGCTGCTCTGCTTTGCTGCTGTCGTGGACCTGCGTACCCAGGACCCCTGCCATAAACACTCCAGCTCCTGGAGGAAACACATCCAGCCTGGAATGGAACACCCACCACCCACCAGATCGGAGGCGGTTCGCAATTCTGCTTGCTGCCGACCTTGCTGAGAGATTGGCTAGGTGCAGACTCGCGGCTGAGGTGTGTGGTGTATCACCCCACTGATGCCGAGACCCCCGGGCTGATGGCAGAGGCCAGAGTTTAGTGAGGGCAGGCTGCCGAGGGGCCCCCGGGAGTGAGGAAAGGTGGACTGAAGCCACTCCCAGGTGCTCAAGAGGAGCTGGAAGTCCAGGTGCCACGTGGAAGCCACAGTTGGAGGGCTGGTGTCGCTGCCAGGAGGCAGATTGGCCAGAAACTGCCTGTGAAAAGTGTGTTTGTGGTGTGGTGGTTGTGTATAACCGTGCTGTCCCTAAGTAGCTTTCCTAAATGTTGACAATGTGCCACCGTACTGCTTTGTGATTCCTGCGTGGTTAATGTGCGTGGTGTTTGAGGGGGCGTGTACCAGGTGAGGTGGCGTGGGAGACAGGGTTAGACTCTCCAGGGCTCATCCATCCCAAGTGCCCATTCCTGTGCGGCAAGTCCACCACCAATATGGTGGGAGAGGACAGGAAATTGGGGCGTTTGTCAGGAGAGGAGGAAGTGGCAGGCGCCCGCTCATGCCAACCCGGTGAGATGGCGACATCCCGCCCGCACGCTGAGGAGTAAAAGCAGCATCAACAAACAGCGACTGTGCTGATTCCTTTTCAGCCACCGCTGTTTCACGCCAGAGCAAGCGACAAGAGCCAGGGAGAAGCCCTCTAAGGCTGTGCAGACCCGACGGTTCTGTTTGAAGAGGGCAGGAAGCCGTCTTCCGCCCTCAAAGCCGTGTTTTATCATTTCCTTGACCTGCCTAAAGAAACAGCAGTGCACAGGGTCTGTAATGCCGCCATGCCAGGGGCCTTGCCCGCCCCCTCCCCCAGTTGGGTCCACTTGTGGTCACATGACTGGGCCAGGTCCCAGGGAGCTGTAGACTTTGGTATCAGGGACTTCTCAGTCTTACTTCTCTTCAAACTTCGTGAGACCCTCTAGTGGCCTGTCTGTCTGTGTGTCTGGAAAATCCAGACCGGGAACGGCAGGTCTGATCGACTGACAGAACTGATGAGGGAGAGCCTGGGCCTCAGGCCCAGGGCCTCTCTCTGCTGTTATCCCCCCAACCTCCAGTCTGATTCTCATCTCTGGAGGGCTGTGCGGGCAGGCCTGTGTGCACACTGAAGTAAGAGTGGCCACATGCTGGTGCCTGGGACCAAAGGCCCCCGAATACACTGGTTTTGAGCTGTCCCCTGGGTTGGCCGCTTGGTTGGTGAGAGAAGTGACAGGCCTTCTGGGCTTGGGACACTGGCGTGGACTGGGTGCTGTGACGGATAATGCGCATTGGTCCTCGGTTTGGGCTGCCTGTGCTCTGGGATCATTCCTAGCATCTCCATCCCTCGAAGCCCTTTCTCCAGAACTGTCTCCAGGTTCTGCACCTTTGACCACCCCCCCACCCCACCCCCACATTCTCTTTTCTCGAGGGGGGACAGCCCAGACTCTGGGGGCTCCTCCGGTCCCTGAGCCCCAGATAGATGCTGTTGGCTAGACCTGTGGCTTCCTGCAAGAAGCCGGCAACTATCGGCAGCCGTTCCCTCTGAGGGGCTCAGGGCGGAAGTCACTTCTGCATACTTGGCAGAAGAGTTTTTGAAGGAGCTATTTCTTGTTCTTCTAAGAAAGCATTATGCAAAACTGATCTCAAAGGGCATTAACGATTTTTTAACGGCCTTGCTTTGGCTTTTAGGACACCTATTTGTGGATACTTTGTTTACATTATGAGTATTAAAACCTGCATCAGCTGGTCAGCCCCTCGTGGCTCCTTCCTGTCCAGGGACCCCCGCCAGAACCGTCCTGGGCATCCTCTCTCAGCATTTCCCTAGTGAGCAGCCCCGGGGATGAGTGGGGACAGTCGGGAGCTGACGTTCACTTGTGCCCCCTCCTCTCCCCCCCCACACACACACTTTGTGTGGAAAATAGTGGCAGTTTCCCCCGTGATGGTGTCTTATAGTGATGGTTCTCATGGTGAATGGCTAGTGACATTTCTCAATTTAGTTTTTTCTTTCTGGTGGTAAGGCAAAATGCAATGTTAGCTATTTCCTCACCAACCCAACTTAGAAGTGTCTTGGATTTTCTTTACCCGTCCAAACCAAAAGTCCGATCCAGGCATGCATGTGGCGTGCGCGTGATGTGCTGCCTCCACCCCTGTGACATCCGTATCAGGAAACCGCCTGCTGCCACCACGGGAAGCTACCTACTCCTACCCTTCCCCCTCCCGGGGCCTGGGGGGTCCCTTGATGCCAGGGGGAGCTATCGCAAGGTGCTTCTCTGCTTCCCCAGCTTGGAAGTAGAGGTGACTGGGCTCGACTCCTGCTGTGAAGAAGCCAGTCTCAGGTTCTCAGTGCCCCAGAGATCTAGGGCAGGATTTCGAAATTAGAATCACTCCTCACCAGCTTGAAGAGCCCCACCACCACCACCCCTACCATCCATCCCCTCCCCCAGCAGTGTGTCCTCACAGCAGTGACGGCCCAGCCCGCGTACATACGCAGAGCTGAACCCTGCGCTGAAGTCACCGAACTGACGGCCCACTCAGAACCCCCCGGTACCCGGCCCCAAATGTTCCCAGTCCACAAGCCCAGGGTGTCGGGTGGGTCTTATGTTTTGTTGGGTTTGGGGATTGTTTGGCATAGCTTACGGTGCCTTTTGTTTGTTTCTATTTTGTTTTTTCAGGACTTGTTTAGAATCTGGAAAACAAGTCCAGAAGATTCTCCCACCGACTGTTCCCTTTGCCCCAGACCACCCCAAACCTTGAAGCTCACGTTTTTGTTAA